CCCCTGAGCCTCTGGCCTGTACCCCAGTTCTGTATGCACAAATAAATAAATCTTTAAAATATATGTGTGTATATATATATATAGAGAGAGAGAGAGAGGTACTTAGGTAGGTATGAAAAAACTGCACAGTAACAGGATGGAGAGGTCTGTAGCAGCAGTTTCCTAAACATCATGCAATGAATGAAGGTGATACCAGAGATGGGAAAACAAAGTGAACCCTACCATTTGTCCAGCTCCCTGCCTTATAAGTTTCCAGGATGTGCAGCAAGGAAGAGGCAAAGTCAGTATCTCCCTGAGTCGTAAACAAGGAAGCAAGAGGCAGGGGAGATTATGTGTCTATAGTTTGCAGATTCATTACGTGAAAGAGAGCAACTACACAGAAACTGAACTCAAGAATCTGCAGTCATCCCATCATGCAGTTGCCTAAGAGCTGCTTAGTGTGTATCTTAGATGGGAAAGAACCATCTGAACAGATGAGAGGCATGTCTGGCACTCATAGCAGGCTGAAAATTAGACCTGTTCCTACCAAAACCTCAAGATTCACAGGGCTCTGGGCAGAGTCCACAGCAATGTCTCGCCTCTACAGTCGGGAATAATTACCCATATACTGAGCCAATTCTGGCCTCACCTAACAATTCATAAAATCAAGATTCAGGGATTCTGTTTCATCCAAGAACAAAGTTTCTCAAGAATGTTTATAAGAATACAAAAACTTTTAGTACCCATTAAGGTAAAATTAGCTCTGGCATATAATCAAAGACTACTAACCTTGCAAATAGATAAGAAAACACAACCAGAAATAAAGAAAATAATCCAGCAACTAAAATTGACCTAACAATAATATAAATGTTAGCAAAAGGGACATTAACACAGTTGAATTACATTCCACTGGCTCAAAAGGTTAATATGTGAAAGATATAAAAATACCCAAACTGAACTTCTAGAGAAAAAGATGTCAAAGGTCAAAGCTGGAACAAACACTGGGTAAAACTGATGGAGCATTAAGCAGTGGAGAGTAAAGATTACTAATTAAACTTGAACACAACAAGAGAAATTACCCAAAAGTGAAGACAGGAAAGAATTTTTAGAAAGTATCAGTCAGTTGTAGGTCAATGTTAAATGGCATATTGCAAGTAGACTTGGAATGCCAAAGAAAGGAAGAAAGGGGTGAGAAAGATATTTGAAGGAATCATGGCCAAAATTGTCCAAAGATGATAAAAACACAAATGTACAGAATTAAGAAGCTCAGTAAATCCCAAGGAAAAGAAACGTAATGAAAACCACATCAAGACACATAGTTAAAGTACTCAAAATCAGCAATAAAGTAAAAAATCTTAAAACACGGCTGGGCGGGCCCTCCCTGGTGGCACAGGGGTTAAAGACATAGCACTGCTGACGGGCTGCTCACCTCCGTCTTGCCCACTCTTCCCTCTGCAGTGTACTTCAGTAGATGGCCTGTTCTGCTACCTACTCTGTTTCTGGTGAATCCTCTCAACCTCCCCCAACCCCACCTCTGGCCTACATCCTAAACAAATAAATCTTTAAAAAAAAAAAAAGTAATTGGGGATGAAAAACATTACATTCAAAGGAACAAAGATGATTACAGAGAGGTCTCATCAGAAACAATGTGACAGTGGAGCAAAACCTTTAAAGCACTGAAAGGAAAAACTGGTCAATCTACATTACTGTATCTATCAAAAAATAGTCTTCAAAAAAGTGAAGGCAAAAGAAAGTTTTTCTCAGTATGTAAATGTTAAAATAATTCATCACCACAAAGCCATACTATAAGAAATATTAAAAGAAATCCTTCCAGCAGAACGAAAAGAGGTAAGAGAGATCTACAAAAGGAATAAAAAGCACCAGAAGTGGTAACAAAATGAGCCAATATATGACTGCTCTTAATTATTTAAATATTTTATGGACAACATGAAGCAGTATTAGACCATTCAAAGATACACTGTAATACAAGACAGGTATAGCACAGAACCTCAAGCCAGCAATGAAATAACATGACAGAGCTACAGTTAACAAGGCAACAATAGATATAAAAAAGAATCATTTAAAAATCTAAACGGCAAAAAAAAACAGGGAAAAGGAAGTAAAAAAGCAAATTGAGACAAATAGAAAACATACAGCAAGTTTAAAGATTTTAAGCTAGCCTAAAAATAATTTATTCTAAACACCCTAAAAAGCAGACTTTTATATGTATTTTGTGTCTGTGAAAACAAATTTATTTGAAAACAACTTACATATATATATATATATATATATATATATATATATATATATATATATGAAATCTATAGTTTCCTGTCTCTTCTAGCAGGTTAAAATTTCCTTAAAGACAATACTATACCCTATGTTAATTTGCATTGCCAGAACTCTAACTTTAAAAGGTCCCTCAGTAAACACAGGAAAAGGAACGAGGAAAAGACATCAGCCTACTAACTCCCAACTCATTACTCCTTTTCTGCAGTAAATTTATACTGCATTCATTCATTCATGTTATGTTGTTATTCATTCAATCATTCATGTTAGTATGAATATGCACATTACAGCCTCCTTGGTAAGGTATGGCCACAAAAAAATCCCTATCTGCTTCTAATATGACAGTTCTAACTAGCCCAACCTAACATCGTGTGAGTTTTTTTTCTGCATTTCATAAAAATGTCCCCTAAATAGTGATTTGGAGAAGCCAATGACAGTATCTTCTACCTGCATACCTGAGCCATGCTGATGGGAACATCAATAAACCAATCAGATCTGCAGCCAACTTACAAAAGGATCCGTAGGAAAAAAGACAGCCCCAGCTGCCACAGTAACACAGCAGCACAGCTAACTAAAGAGGGGCTTGATTATCCTCCTTCCTCGTGGCAATCTGGTTTAAATGCCCCCGCTTTCAAGTATTAAGTTAAAATGTTCAAGACTATAGTATTGTAACAATTCTTAAGGATTTTCACCTTGTTTAGTGAGGGCCTCTCGGAGAGCGGGAGTTATCATAGCTCTTCTTTCACTGGCTTCTTTCTTCACTGAATTCCTAAACAAACTAGTTTTCTCTTCCTGTTGCTCTGTTTCTCTCTGTATTAAAATAAAAAAATAAAATCCAGAATTGGCACTGTGCAGTGACTTTAACAGTACAGCAAGCACAAACACATAGCATGGGTAAAAGTGTTCACAATGAACCATGGCCCACAACACTCTTGTCTCCAAAAAGATCACATTTCCAGTCAGGCAACGATCTAGAGACACAGCAAGGGGAGGCTTTTTTTCTCCTCCAAAAAAGTAACTAGGGCCCTCCCTGGTGGTGCAGCGGGTTAAAGCACTGCACTAAGAAGAAGCTAAAGCCACTTCCGCATGAGTTAGATCCCCCTTCAATCTGCCTGTTCTGCTCCCCACTCTGTCTCTGGTGAAGCCTCTCACCACCCCTGAGCCTCTGGCCTGTACCCCAGTTCTGTATGTACAAAAGCCTCTGGCCTGTACCCCAGTTCTGTATGTACAAATAAATAAATCTTTAAAAAAAAAAGTAACTACATACTCAAACATAAAATCCAACAACAAAACATAAGTCAACAATCCACTTATCTAGACAATGAAGATTTTTAGCAATCTTAATAGAGACAGCTGCCTATCAAATTATTTCTATGAATTTCAATTTGGAGTAGAAATGTGTTGAAGGTTAAATGAAATAAAATCACCTGGCCCAATAACTTAAACTTAACAGGAGTTCAATAAATTATGGTAACTGCTGATCATTACATCTACAAACCCCAAAAACAAAGCTAAAAAGTGCCCTGAGTTACTCAAGCAGTCATTTGCTCAGAGACCAAGTTATCCCCCAACACTTCCACCAGTTGCGCCAAAGGCTCCTTTCAAAAGATTCCAGAGGGAAAATTTTTCTGCAGAAACCTTAAAGATAATTTCAAACTGGTTGTTCCCTTCTGATTTTGATCAGTAGAAAAGTCAGCAGCCCACCTTCAATCACTGTGTAAATCATGTATCATGCTTGTCTTGTATTCTCCATATTACAAGATGAGCCTCATTTACCCTTTACCGTGACTTCTTCCTCTTTTTATATATCTTACATATATGTGTGTGTGGGTCTGGGTGTGTGAATACTTTCATATATATATAACAGCATTTAACTGTCTCTGAATAAATATATATATATATATTTAAGTTACCTCAATTATTTTTTTTGGGGGGGAAACAGCACAGAACTAATTAATAATGCCAAGATAACACAGTCTCTGTGTCACACTTTAGAGGAAGTGCTCATCCGATTTCACTAAAAGTTGCAGAAATTCCTAAAAGGTTTCAAACCAAATTCCAGATGCTCTCAGTAACTGTCCATTTTAAATGTACAGCCCCCATGAAGCAGTGAGTAGATTCACAATACCTTTTCCACCTAAAAGTGAAAACACTTCACAGATGACATGACTTTTAAGGTCTTTGTCAAACTAAAACAGAGGGAAGATGGTCCAGTCTGAAGCTGGCTAACAGGTCATGGGATTTGCTATATCAATCTGCCTACTTTTGTGAATGCTCAAGTTCTCCATCAAACTGACTACACAAAATTTAAAATTAAAAATTAAGTTTAGAAAATCAGAGAAAGATAAACCAGTTCAATTCAGAATTAACTTCTCTATCTTTTCTGTCACCTTAGGGACTTGCTCTGAAATAGGAAATCAGTGAAAAATCACACTCAAAAGTCAAAAATACCAAATGAGAAATGCAAACCCTCACCAAGTTCTATCTGTACTTAAGTCAACATTCTAAACTATTAAATAAATTCAAAACACTAAGTTAATAAACAATTTTGTTTCTGTTAATAGAGCTTTCGGCTACACATTTCTAGGCGGAATGGAAAAAATTATAAACATCAATCACTTAATTCTTATCTAGTATAAAAACAATCAGCTTAGGGCCCTCCCTGGTGGTGCCGCGGGTGAAAGCACACCACGGCAAAGATGGCCGTGGCCGCTCCACTGAGAGTTAGATCCCTGCCCCGGAGGGGATCCACGTGGCACAGCAGACCTCTCCTG